TCTTTCTTAAACACCGAATTTGTAGAGCAGACTACAAACTTAGTCTAGAAATTCAAGGAACCCATTAACTTTAACAAATCTCAGAGTGATCTCTAATTTCTCACTATTTTTCACTATCCACTGTCATTCTCCTGCATAACGAACCACAACTTTTTCTTTCTTTTTTTCTTTTTCTTTTTTGTTGTTGAGATATTTGAAATACAACTTTATTCTGGTTCTAAATGTAAAGGAAGGGGAGTGACAGGTAACAAACAAGACGCCACCACTGAATATTGTGATGTGACTGTAGCTGTCTTGTATTTGAATTTCAAGAAAGAAAACAAATATGTTCCAAAGAGCTAGATCTGCAGGTCCAAATAAATAAAGAAAAGCTTTTAAACTGCAACCCTCACTCTGAAGCTCATTCATCTCCTTCCGCATCATAAAGATGAGCACATTCTGCTTACCTAGGTAGTAAGAGGGGTGAACACCCTGCACCACTGACATCACAGGACAGCTATCTACACAACCAGACTTCGGAGGCGGGACTCCAGCTTCGTTCTCTCACAGGTTGTCACCTCATCAGGGAGAGCAATTGTCTGCCCGGCCCCCAAATCCCACTCATGCTCGTCTTGTGCTGCCGCAGCCAGCCGGGTCCACATCAGCCGCCTGTGGGGGGAGAGCAGGCATGAAAACGAACTCCGAGTTAGAATCTCTGATTAGTGTTCTAGCAAGCTAAAGAAAGGGCTTTTCAAAATTATAGTTACTCGGTGGATTTTGCCTTAACGCTCCAGCCCTTAATGTCCACTTTGTTGTCACACAGAACGATGGGTTTGTTTTCACGTTCTTGAACCAGACCTCTATGCAAGGTCCATTCTTGTAAGTAACCATTGAGGTTGCGTCGAACGTTATAATGGCACACTGGGCTCGGATATAATAGCCATCTCTCATTCCTCGAAATGTTTCTTGACCAGCCATATCCCACACGTTGAATTTAAAAGGCTCTCTGTTAGGATGGACCACAAGGGGATGGGCCTCAATGCCCAAGGTGGCTACATACTTCTCAAATTCACCTGTCAGGTGATGTTTCACAAACGTCGTTTTTTGAGTACCAACATCACCCACCAGTTCGAGTTTGAACTGGACTTGGCAGTCTCCTTGGGCGGCCATCGTGATGAATCTTTCAGAACCATAGTCCTATGTCCATGTTTGCCACCAGAATCCACCCTCGCTAAGGCAGTCAGATTGGTTGTTTGAAATCAGAATCAGTTTATGCCTACCCTAAATCCTGTGTAAATCTCACACAGAGAACAAAATCCTAGAACTAGCCCCTAAAGGTATTCATGGTCTGTAATTCCCCGGCTTTCATATTCCGGGCAAACAATTTTCCCTCTGCTTTTTCTAAAAGTACTAGGCATGCTTCCCCTTTAAGGCTTGCCATTTCATTTGTCTCCAATATTCTTTATCTATACAGCGACATGGTTCTTTCTCATATTTTCTATACCTATTCATTCATTCTGACTCAGAGTTACCTTATAGGACAGAATATAACTGTTCATTAGGGTTTCTAAGATTATAAAACTGTATGGGAGCAAGCAATCTCATCTTTCTCAAGGACAACAGCTGAGGGTTTGAACTGTCATTCTTAAGGTTAGCAACACAGTTTATCACACAGTACCACCATGACTTCTGACCTTTTTCAAAGTTGTTCTTAAATATAAAAGATCTGTGACTGCCACCCATTTACCTAAGAAGATGCTCTCTTCCCTTGTACTCCTGTACTACACACCTGCCCACACACATCTATCTGTACACACCATTGCTCTCATTTTCTCCCTTTCTCTATTTCTGTCAAAATGAAACATTTGCCTATTTAAACAATTTAAATCATCTATTTTAATAATTTAAACAAGTATATATCTGTCTAACTATCAAGAGGCAGTTGTGTGACCAGAACTGAGAAATACCGTGTGGTTTAAAATTAAGAAAGCTGTGTGCCAGGGTTGTGGCCTCTTATTATAATTATTTAATTTGTATGCTGAGCAAATAATCAGATAAGCTGTATTATATGAAGAAAATTTCTATATCAATATTGGAGGAAGACTTATTAACAATCTGTGATATTCTGATAAAACGACCTTGCTTACTGAAAGTGAGGACAAATTGAAGCACTTGCTGATGAAGATCCAGGATTGATGCAGCCTTCAGTTGGGATTAGAACTCAATGTAACAAGCACCCAAAACCTCACAAATGGACCGATAGGTAATATTATGATATATGCAGAAAAGATTGAAGTTCCCAAAGATTTTTTTCTTACTTGGATCCACAATTGATGCTGATGGAAGCAGTAAGTCAGGAGATCAAATGACACATTTCATTAAGTAAATTTGTTGCACAAGTCCTCTTTAAAGTACTGAAAAGCAAAGATGTTACTTTAAACATTAAGAAGTACCTAATCCAAACTAATATAGTGGCAGCCACCTCATGTACATGTGAAAATTGGACATTGAAAAAAGAAGACAGAAGAAGAATCCATGCATTTGAATTATGGTGCTGGCAAAGAATATCGAAAGTACCATGGACTGCCAAAAAAACCAACAAATTTGTCTTGGAAAAAATACAGCCAGAATACACCTTAGAGGCAAGGATGATGAGACCTTGTCTCAGGTACTTTGGGTTTGCTCTCAGGAGACATCCTGGGGAAGAACATCAGGCTTCCTAAAGTAGAGGGGTAGCTAAAGAGAGAAAGGCCCTTAGATGGACACAGTGACTGTAACCATGGGCTCAAATATAACCACAATTGTGAGGATGGTGCAAGACTGGGTAATGTTTCAGCCACTTGTACATGGGGTTGTTGAGTCAGAACTGACTGGAGGATTTCTAACAACAACTATCTTGCTAATTTTATTTCCTTTCCCTCACTATCAGTTTTATAAAGTTTGACTAAGTCACCCATTATTAGCTTCCTTGAGTGTATGGTTTGTTTTGACTCTATAAAAGACAACTCTGACAAAGTTCTCGCTCTTGATCAACGTCCTGAATTTGGCCCCTATTTCTTCATCTCCAGTACTTGAAGCTTGAGCCATCTGTCTATCATCCGACGTGACTTGCCACCTTTTAATGGTCTTGGGAGCCAACAGGCTGTCATTTGAAGTTCAATTTGTGTGCTTGCAATTCCATGAGTAAGGAGATCCTTCAGGATGACATCTGATCCATGGATTTGGAACTTGACAATCTCTACAATCATATGAGCCATTTGCTTAGCTATTTGTGATTTCTGTAAGACATTATGGCAATTTACTGGAATCTCAAAACCCAAGGAAGAATATTGAGGAGAAAAGGAATAGTTGGTGTAAGAATGAGAAATGACACAATAGTTTTAAGGTGAACATTTGGGAGTTCTTTAACATCTGCCACATAGGGAGACATTTTATACTAATCATGCTAAATTATTTGTGCACAGTTGCAAGAATGTGTCCGTTTTATTCATTGCCCTTTGTCTTGTGATTTGAATAGCAGCTAAAATTCAATATTCTAAGCCATGATAATCAAGTCATTCAGTGCAATTGGACACACACACACATGAAGCTGAATTTCTCATGCATCAAATCTAAAATGTAGCCATTTGAACTTGATTATTTTGTTTCTTTATGCTATCTAGTATCATTGATTTCAGCCTAATCACTCCATGAATGTAATTTTTTTTGTTATTGTTGTTGTTTGTGGTGGTGGTGGAGATGTGTATGTCCTGCACAATCTCTTAGAATATCTGCAAATCTCTCCCATCAGTTCTCAAATCATGGTTTCACTAAGACCTTCTTTCCATTGTTGAGAGTCACAATTGTATTAAATGCTTTTTAAAATCATTTTATTGGGGGCTCATACAACTCTTATCACAATCCATCCATACATCAATTGTATAAAGCACATTTGTTCATTCATCACCCTCATCATTCTCAAAACATTTGCTCTCCACGTAAGTGTATAAAATGTTTTACCTGTACAACCACAAGCTGCCAGATCCAGTTTTCTAAATAATCATGTAGACTTTGATTTTTAGTCTCATCTTGGCAAGTGACCCACACTAGATTTCATCTTCTTGTTATTGTTGCCTGCAATGAACTCATCAGCATATTTTCAAATTCATAGTTTAAAAAAAACCAAATAAGGATAATTTAAACAGGCATGTGTTTCAAAAACATGAGTCTACTCAATAAGTGTTAGGGGATTTGAGGAGCAAAGCTGTGCAAAAAACCAACAAAATCAACAATAGAGACTAAGAGGCAAATTTAACTGAAATCACACTTGGAATTAGAATAATGGAAGCTTTCCCAAGTACACAACTATTTTATATTCTTTCCAGGAAAAAAGAGAAAAGTAAGAAACAATTATATCCTCGTCATGTTTCTTTCCTCTGCTTACTTCCGTAACCAGGTCACCCCTGTGGAAAGCTGCTCCCAGCACCTTTTCCAGTGCTATCGAGTAGAAGTAGTTGCTAATTCATTTTCAAGCTTCCTCAGAAGCCTTGAACATAATCGTTCTGGTAAACCTAATTTTTGGATGTATGGAGATCTCTCAGAGTCAACATCTAGTTACTGTTGAAACTTATACCAAACCTAGGAACTTTCCTATCCATTTTGCTCATTTTCAATCACATTTCTCCTTTTGAGGCCTAAATAAGCACTGTGCTAAATAAAGCTTACAAGGTTTTAAACTAAAGCAGTAAATTACGTATTAAAAAGAAACTCCAATATCACTGTTTCATTGTGGTATATATTATTTCGTGTTACCCTTCAATTAAAAAGCAAAGCAAGTCTGACTTGATGTAACTATCGTACACTTCATAAATATGACTGACATTTTGCAGTGAAAATAGCATTGTGTTTCTGGGTCAAAGTTAAATACTACTCACATTTCTTTTATTTATGGGCCAAAGAAAAGCCAGCCACATGCTTTAATCATTTACGTGAGCTGCTTAACAACAATTTGAAAGGCCTTAGGCCCAAGCTGTATTTGCTGCGGAGCAGCCAATTGCAATTGCGTGCATCCTGACTGGGCTCAGTACTGCACACATCTACATTTCCATTCCTGTTTCCTAAGCTTGATAACATAACATAGAGTTGCATTTTTGAGTAATTCTATAGCACAGCAAAGGAGATGGATAGTCTAGAAATACTAATAATTTGGTTTGTACATCAAGTTGAAATTTACTTAGTAATATTTGAACACATATTTCACCTAGAAATAGGTAAGACATAAATAACATGATGCCTAATATACTGAAATATTCAATATGTTTTCTATTCAGTGTATAAATGGAAAAGTGAAAAATTGATCTAATGTACTGGTAATTCATATTAATAACCATTTTTCTTTTATCTGGGATGTTGGAATGTTTTTTAGTTTTGAAGATAATACCATTTACCAGATTCCTAGTTTATTTTTAAGTTAAGCTATCTATATATACATAGATAGATATATAAGTGTATATGTATGTAAAATTATATATATGTGTGTGTAAAATTATAAATTGACCCACTCTGTTATGAAATAAACACTGGCCAAAGTCAATAATATTGATCTGAAACATTTGAAAACTAAGAGTTTGAAACTGGTTTCAGCAGTTTTGTTTTTTTATTTTAAAATTTTTAATGAGTTTGTTACTGGGAACCAAGCCGCTCCATTCCTTGTTTCTTGTTCACTTGCAAGAAAGATTTCAGGCAACAGACAAAATTCAGATCAGAGTCAGAAAAATGGTTTGAACAGAATGAGTGAGTTTACTGAAGGGAATGATGTGGAAAATAAGTCCAAATGGGCCTTAGCTACTCGAAAAGAACTGGCAAACTGCGAGCGGGACCTTATGTACCACTGATGGTGGATTTCCCACGGTAGGCTGGCTTGCTAGTGGGTCTTCCAATGTTGGTTGGTCCTCCGTAGTGTGCCTCCTCTTCCCAGTCATGTCTATGAAAGTACCCTGGACTTCTGCAGGCACTCCTGTCTCATTACCCGCAACGCAAGCGTTTACTCAGTCATGATGGGGGTCCTGGAAACCATACCTTTTCAGTATCTCAAGTCTCTCCCATTCATAATCAAATGTGTCTTCACTGCCCTTTATCTTCCTTTGTGCTGGAGAGGTATGTGGTAAAACATGACTCCACCTCTCATCCGT